ATGATAACAGAGGGATACACAGCAGAATGGAAGTTCTAGGGAAGGACTTCCCTCTATGGGAGTCAGGGAAGACATTATAGGGGAGGCAACCTTGAACTTTGAACAACTTCTAGAAAGATATAGAGAGCAGTAAGCATATGTAAATACAGTGCTGGGTGAAAAAACGGTGCAAGCAATGGTGTGGAGGTTCCCCATTCTCCAAAGAACAATGTAACTGAAAAATAAGACATGCCATGGGAAATAAGACCAGAGAGAAAGCCAGATAGAGATTGGTTGGGGCCAGAGAGCCAAGAGGTCCTTGCTTGCTGTATCAAACACACAAGAGGAAGTCCCGTTACTCACATCCTGCCGTAGTGCCTTGTTCTGTCAGCCTGTCACCTGCCCTGTGCTCCTCCCCTGCCACCTCCCTCACACTCACACTCCTTTTTCCCAGCACTACTCTTATTCTGACCAATTGAAAATGACAGCAACTGACACTGCATCATTATTAACAGCATCACTTCAAACTGAGGGTAAAGGAACAAATAGCCTAGGTGGAGAAAGCTCACATTGGTCCAGAGCATTCAGCAACTCCCTGAAGCCTTGAAGCCACACTAGGCGGAATGTGTGTATGCCCGGGGCCATGTCCCTTCAGCAAGGAGTCTGACACACATAGTTCATTTGGGATAAGCTCAATAATTAAAGGCTGTGCTTTCCATCTACCCTCATTCAGCACACATTTATTGAGCATTTCAAGCCAACAGGAGCAGAGTCTTCATGAAGTCATGTAACCAATCTCATAATACTGTGGCTCCTCCATCCCAATGAACAGTTTGCTGTTCAAAGTGAAGTGTGAGAAGCAGGCATAAATATCACTGGCATAATACCAACTTGTACTTTTTTAAAAAATTACTTTCTCTTGTCCTTTTTTGCTTTAACGTTAATACATTTAAAAATAAGAACAGATCAACCATTGAAGACAGAGTAGCAATTCCTCAAGGATCTAGAACTAGAAATACCATTTGAACCAGCAAGCCCATTACTGGGTGTATACCCAAAGGATTATAAACCATTCTATTATAAAGACACATGCACATGTATGTTTGCTGTTGTGAGCAGTGCCACAATAAAGACTTGGAACCAACCCAAATGCCCATCAGTGATAGACTGGATAAAGAAAATGTGGTACACATACACCATGGAATACTATGCAGCCATAAAGAAGGATGAGTTCATGTCCTTTGCAGGGACATGAAGCTGGAAACCATTATTCTCAGCGAACTGACACAAAAACAGAAAACCAAATACCACATGTTCTCACTGGTAAGTGGGAGTTGAACAATGAGAACACATGGACACAGGGAGGGGAACATTATACACTGAGGCCTGCTGGTGGGTGGGGGGGCTAGAGGAGGAATAGCAGAGAGTTGGGGAGCTAGGAGAGGGATAGCATTAGGAGAAATACCTAATGTAGATGATGGGTGATGGATGCAGCAAACCACCATGGCACGTGTATACCTATGTAACAAACCTGCACGTTCTGCACATGTACCCCAAAACTTAAGGTATAATAAAAAGTAATAAAAAAAAACAAATATGAAAATATGTTTTGTATAATACAATTTGACAGAGAAGTTCTATGTGTTACTAGAAAACTGAGGGGGGAAGAAAGCCCTCATCTTTCCTTGGTATCTCAATTTTTTTCTAGAAGACTTTGTAGCAAGTTGAACTCATCCAAACATGAATATGGACGCTGCTCTTTTTAAGAAAAATGATATTACTGACCTACAATCAAAAGTAGTGATAATGAATTTTAACTGATCCAACCATATTCTTTTAAATGCTTTTAAATAATTTATCTCTTATTACTGAAGGCACACAAAGCTGAGTCCTAACTCAAACAAGGCCCCAGTTGACCCAAGGCTCAGAAGTGGAGAATGGAACAGGACGAAAAAGTGGGACTTAAGGTGACAAACTACCAATATATTACAATCATAGTGTAGATGGAGATGGTTGAGAGTGATCGGTGGAGGTCAGTCTTGGAAGTCAGAAAACAAATGCAGATGGGGAAATAAACAGGAGCTGGGGCAAGAAGCAAAACTGGAGCAAGACACACACAGCGTTTTTCTTATCGGTCCAGAGATTTATGAAGAACACTGTTATTTAGTGGGTTGAAAATTTGGAATTCTGGTCACAAAATGTTCTAGCTGCTACCAGATCCTCTCTACCTTTTAAAGGGATAGGCCCAAAACTAAAATTTGTCAGAGGAACAAAAGCAACCATTTGTACAACACGGAGCTGAGAAACAGTGAAATTAGCCAAGGTGGAACAGAGCATCTCACTGAGGTGCAAACCCCTGGTTTCATCAGCTCTAAACACCTGAACACCTTCTCTGGAGCCCAGTTCACCCACAGTCATTAGGTCAGTTCAGAAAATAAAGTTACAAAGGGAGCTACTGAGGGCTACTTTGATTACAAGTGACAAAGTTCCAGTCCAAAATGTTGAGGCAAAGAAAGTATACTGAGGTATTCACAGAATTTAAGCCAGGAATATTTGGACCTCATCAGCAATTCAACCAGGAATACAGGCACAATCAGGTCCCCACTCACTCTTTTGCATCTGCATCTCTGTGCCCTGTGTGGACCAGGGTGGAGGAATGATGGGCAACATCAGCCCCAGACTCGTAGATTTTAAAGCTCCAACCCTCGGAGACTGACCTACTTTCTCTGATCCCAATTAAAACAGTGGAAAAGAAAACTCGTGGCCCAGGCTCAGTCCGATCCCAAAGTTAGGTCATTCAACTGTGGGTGAGAGGGCAGGCTGCTTGGATTGGCCCAGCAACGCTCAGGTGTGCAACCTTTATTAGCAAACAAAGGTCAAAGGGATGAGTTCATGAAAGAATATGAGCATTGGAAATTGCCATTCCCCAAAGCAGCAGATGCTTAGCATAGAAAAAATAAGTATCCACCACCCAAAGTGAGTCACCTGCATGTTACACAAAGTGCAAAAACTGGGCTAATAGTCCCGTAACAGACAATCACCTGCCCCTGGCCATAGAGACTGTGTCCTTTAACCTTATTTAAAAATCATTGCAACTCCATCACCCAGATGAAGACGCAGCTTCTACACTCCTCAGTTTCTTAGTCACTCGCTAGAATTCAGAGGCAGGTGAGAGTGTCTAGTTCCTGTCAGGCACAATGAGGCTTCTCTGGTGGATGGGGCAGCCAAGAAAGGAGAACCAGCTTCCCTGACAGAGCCAGTTCGCATTCCAACTTCTCATGCCCTAGCTTTGCCGCTGTGGGCACGTTACCGAACTTCCCTCCCAGCCACAGTTTTCTCACCTGCAAAATGAGGAAAAGAAAACTACCTGGCAAGGTTTGTATAAAGGTTAGAGATAATGTACATAACAGAACACTGTCTGATCAATGGCAGTGTCTGTATTATTAATATACTGAATGGCTCCCTCACAACCTCTAAGAGATCATGTGTCTTTGACCTTGGGAATGTCTTCAGGACAACGTTCCATTTCATACTAACCTATTTCCTTGTAAAAAAAAAAAACCTCCTTTTTGTACCTTCTATACTCAGACAAGAAGACCTGGTTAATATAGATTCCAATTAGGTTGTACTACGAAGAAAGAGGGATGGGGTGAGGAAAAAGCAACAATTTTTATTCTTTATCTGAAATGATACCGAAATATACCCAACCTTTAAAGAGGACTTTAAAATATGAACTAAGAAGGGCAACATAGCTTCACTAGTACCCTGAATTTTTAAAATCTGAAACAAAAATACAACTCAGGAAAGCCCTAGCTGGCACCATCTCTGGAGCTACAGTCATTCAGAGAAGAGCAAAGTCCCCAGGAGGATTTCACAAAGTACAGATGTCTTCACTTTACAAATAAAGAAACTGAAGCTCAGAGACGTGAAGTGAATGCTCTGAGGTCACGTGATTCAACAAAATCACATCTAGAGCCTATTCCCAGCCCAAAGCTTTCCCACCCACTCCACAGCATAGGCAGCTGGAGGGAGGAAGGTGGGGCCCTCAGGGGAGCCCCAGAGGAATAGAAAATGAGCTGTCCTTGACAAGATTGAAAAAAATGTTACATACAGAGCCTCACCCCCTTCAAGTGGGTCCTCTGACAAAAGGGGAAGAAAGCAAGCTTTACACCCCATACTCTCTCCTGGCTGCCTTCCCTGGCCAGAGTTCAGTGAGTTGAAAATCATCCATTGCTTTGTAATATCTGTAGCTCCCTTAACATAGATTATAAAATGTAGTTTTCATTAAGGGTCCCTCAAACAGCAATAATAAAAGAACAAATAGTTCAGCTAGTACCTGATAAGAAAGGACTCCTGTACTCCTACGTCAATCTCCTGCTTTGCTTCATTCTATGCTCTAGCAAACCAAATGCTTGTGACATCCCTGTGTAGCCTGCTCCTTCTTTCCTCCACAGTATTGTTCCTACTGCCCCTGCTGGCTGGAACTCCCTTCTGGTCTTTCCTCAGCTCACTCATCCTTTAAGACATAGCTCAGGTACCACCTGCTCCTGGAAGCTGTCCATCATGTGTCTTTGTGTCCTGGCTCATTGTAAGCCACAGTGAAGGTGTGTTGAGTGCTTAATGCTGAAGAAAAGTATTTCATCATTGTAATCTAGGGCCAGAATTTCCTTTTTTCTAACCCTGAACCATTGCAGCCATTTCTACAACTCCTCCTCCAACACACTTAAGGTGTGTGAGTCAGGCCATGTATCATAAGCCACTGAAACTTTGGAAATGCTGTAAAATGTCAGCCTCCTTTCCTGACAGAGAGGAAAGGAAGTAGAATGTGAGAAACTGTAGCAGTTGGGGAAACAGGATGGTGAATACAGGAAGGTGGGCAGAGAAATGGCACAGGAGCACCTGGAGCAGAAACCAGCCAAGACAACACGGTCACGCATCTGACATTGCCCAAAACCACTGCTGCTTCTCTTATTTCAGCACCCTGTATCCTGGCCTGGAATTTCTGGGTTCGCAGTAATTACCTGGAAGAAATGGAGACTTTCTGAGACGAACTAGGCCCATGGCAGCATCCACAAGACCATCACCCCTTGGCGTGACCTTCACTTCAAGTCATGCCTGAAACTTAGCTGTTCCTACAGCAAGACAAGAGGGCCACATGGAGGTCATAATGTAGGCTCTGTTCTGAAATAGAACCCAAGAGGGCACTATGTGACTTACAGAACAGACAGCAGTAGACAGCATCTAGCCTGCCCAGGTTAGGTACTCCCAGGTAGAGCTTTATTCCTTAGCCATCGAAGAAGCCTTCATATCATCTACAACACCAAACCTGGCCTAGTTCCTAGACAAAATACGGGCCAAGTCTCAAATCTGGATTTATCCAATTGTGATTCTCATCTGTACAGCTTAACAAATTAAGTTTGTTCAAGCTCATTCACTTAGAAACTTTGGCTGGCATCCAGCGTCACCATTCTGAGACCATGGGTCCCACAAAGACCATTGTATCCGTGGTCCTCTATAGCCAACAATTAGCTCCCAGATGCAATATGATCTGCCATTTCCATTTTGGTCATGGTTACCATGGAAATCACCTTATGCTTCTCTGTGGAAACCAACTATAATGCTTTTGCTAATGGCCCATGGCTTGGCCCGTGGGAGACTAGAAGTATTGGGCAATAAAAGCACTTGTATTTGAAATTCCTCTCCTTTTTTAGTAGCTTAAGTATGAATGAAAAAGAACAAGAGACAGAGAAGAAAGTGTATTCATTCCATTAGGAAAGAGGTTTCAACTGGCCCCTTTCCTGTCAGTGGAGCTCAGACATTTTTATAAATGTAAGAAAAATAATTGACAAGGGATTAATAAAAGAATATATAAGGAGCTCAAATAATTCAATGGGAGAAAAAGCTAATAATTCAATTAAAAAGTGGGCCAAAGATTTGAGTAGACATTTCTCTAAAGAAGACATACAAATAGCAAACGGGTATATGAAAAGGTGCTCAGCATCACTGATCAGAGAAATGCAAATCAAAACTACAATGAGATATCATCTCACCCCAGTTAAAGGATCATATCCAAAAGACAGGGAATGACAAATGCCGGCGAGGATGTGGACAAAAGGGAACTCTCATATACTGTTTCCAGGAATGTAAATTAGTACAGCTACTATGGAGAACAGTATGGAGGTTCCTCAAAACACTAAATATATAACTACTATATGATCCAGCAATCCCACTGCTAGGTACATACCCAAAAGAAAGCAAATCAGTACGTTTAAGAGAGATCTACATTCCCATGTTTACTGCAGTATTATTCACAACAGCCAAGATGTGGAAACTACCTAAGTGTCCATCAGCAGATGAACGAGTAAAGGAAATGTGGTACATATACGCAATGGAGTACTATTCAGCCATAAAAAAGTAGATTCTGTCATTTACAACAATACTAATGGAATTGGAGGACATTTTGTCAGGCAAAGAAAAACTTACATGTTCTCACTCATTTATAAGAGCTAAAAATTAAAGCAATAGAACTCACAGAGCTAGAGAATAGAAGGATGGTTACTAGAGGCTGGGAAGGGTAGTGGGGGTTGGGGATGGTTAATAGGTACAAAATTCCATAGTTAGATGGAATGAGTAAGATCTAGTATTTGAGGCCAGGCACAGTGGCTCACACCTGTAATCTCAGCACTTTGGGAGGCTGAGGCAGGAGAATCGCTTGAACCTGGGAGGCAGAAGTTGCAGTGAGCCGAAATCACGCCACTGCACTCTAGCCTGGGTGACACAGCAAGACTCCAGCTCAAAAAAAAAAAAAAAAAAAAATAGGATCTATTATCTGATTGCACAGTAGGGGAAATTCAGTCAACAATAATTAACTGTACATTTTGAAATAACTAAAGCATATAACTGGATTGTTTGTAACACAAAGAAAGGAAAAATGCTTGAGAAGACAGATACCCCATTTACCCTGATGTGATTATTATACATGTGTGCCTGTATCAAAATATCTCCAGTACCCATAAATATATACCTACTGCATACACACAAAAATTAAAAATGAAAAAATCTAATGAAAAAAGAAAAATAGGGGACACCATGGGGACACAGTGGGGAAATAAAACAGCAAGAGATGCTGACCAGCGAATACCTGACTTGAGTTGGGTAAAGGCGATTGCTCCTCACGACATAGTGACTACAGTTAGTCACAACGTAGCATGTTCTCCAAAATCACCAGGAGAGTGAATTTTAGGTGTGCGTACCACAAAAAATGGTCAGTATGTGGGTTAACATGTATGTTAGTTCAATTTGGCTATACCACAATATATACATACTTCAAAACATTATATTGTACATGATAAATATATACAATTGTGTTTGTCGATGAAAAATAATTTTTTAAGTCAAAAGAAAAGAATAAACACTAAAATAGGAGTCAGGAGACCTCACTTCTACACTTGAGTCAGTCACTAACCCTGTGAATTGATACAAATCACTAAATCTCTTGGAGCCTGTTTTCTCATCAATAAATTGAGGAGTTTGACCAAAAATACTTGTTTTAACCTCATCAGTTAGTATTTTGATACTTTTTTTCTGCTATAAATTTACAAAATAACTTCTCCCCTATAGGAACAACTGTAAGAGTTGTCAGAAAAAAGACAGGAAAATATAAAAAAACTGAAAATGAAACATGATGCAGGTCATAGGGCCAGAGGCCAGAGAGGCCCAGAAGCCAAAATTGCAGATGGAGTTAGGACTCTGAAAGCAAGCAATGCCCAAAGAGCAAATCCAGATACTCAGCCAGAAGACGGCATGGCCAAAGTATGACGTCATTGAGAAAATCCAAAGCAAGAAGTCCTATCGGAGCCACGTGCTTGATTAGAATATGTCTATCCCAAGTCAGAAAAGAGTGAGTCAAAAGCCTATGCGAAAGTTTAAAAAAAAAAACAAGCCGGGCACGGTGGCTCAAGCCTGTCATCCCAGCACTTTGGGAGGCCGAGGCGGGTGGATCACGAGGTCAAGAGATCGAGACCATCCTGGTCAACATGGTGAAACCCCGTCTCTACTAAAAATACAAAAAATTACCTGGGCACGTTGGCACGTGCCTGTAATCCCAGCTACTCAGGAGGCTGAGGCAGGAGAATTGCCTGAACCCAGGAGGCAGAGGTTGCGGTGAGCCGAGATCGCGCCATTGCACTCCAGCCTGGGTAACGAGAGCAAAACTCCATTTAAACACACACACACACACACACACACACACACACACACACACACACACACACTTGAGAGACATCAAAAAGAAAACCAAATCCCAGAACTTTATCCTGTACAATGCTTGCAGTAATATGTCTCAGGCCATGGCTGGCATAGGCCACAATTGAAGCTATGGAAAATGTCCACTGGGAAATATCAGTTTCCTTTCCAGATAGGGGTTTCCAGAATTTCAATGGACAATGCAGGAAAAAACAAAAGTCCCTGCTGAATCAATCAAAAACCTGTAGGATCACAAGAACAAGAGCTTTGAGGCTGAGGTACAGGCACTTGGGCCTCATTTTGCACCTGTTTCTGATGCTGTTGCCACTGAGGTTCCCTTCAAAGCTCCTGGGCTACACTTCTGTATGTGTGCCTTCTCATCTCTCTATATGCTATACTTACCACAGAGCTCTATTTTCTCAGAGCTTGGGACTTAGAGATGAGAGCTTATTCATTATTTCGATAAATATTCACTAAGTACCTACTGTAGGCCAAATACAATGCTAAGAACTTAATATAAAGGTACATTGATTGATGCTTTAAAATCCAGATAATTTGAGGTTAATTTTCTGATCCCTTCCAAGTTCCTTGATACTATACCACCTAAGGAGCTTTTTAGAAACTTCAAAAACCATTTCCCCCAGCCTTAGACCTCCAGGTACAGCAGGAAAAGAACTGGGTTCTTATGCCAGTTCTGCTGCTAACCTGCCTTGGGCCAAGTCTAAGTTACAAAAACATTCAAGTTCTCAGCTTCCTCTTCTGCCCTGTGGACTTCGTCTTTCCTACCCTGTCTCTTTCATGAGATGCTGGGAGGAGTCAATAAACTAACACCTGTGAAATCACTTTGAAATATGGTCCCAGTGGTGACAAGAAAGCACGCAGCCAAGAGGGGGATTTCACTGGAATCGGGGTTTCTGATTCAGCCTGGCTTCCTCAGCCATTTCTACATCAATCAGCTGTCACCCCTCCTTCTCCTCAAACCATGTGAGTTTTAAAAGCCAGTGCAAGCTCATCTGGAATTCACATACCCCATATTCAGACAGACAAGGACAATCCAAAATTGGAAATACAGGAAGATGGCAGGTGGCACTGCTCTCTCTGAAAAATGAGCACTGTAGAAACAGGTCTGCTTCTCCCAGGATGCCTGATGCTGTGGGTGATTTGTAATGCTTTCCCTGAAAAGCCCTCATCCCCATGAACACATTTTAAAGATAGAAATTAATCTTACAGAATGACAGGGAGAGAAAAATCTGTCAGGAAAAATGAAGAGGAGAAAAACCACCTAATTCTAGAATCTTTTCTACTAAATAAATGGGTTCCGGAGAAGTAAGACTGGACATATATTTCTCCCTCGTGCTTACCATTTACTGGGCAGCTGCAAGAGATGAGATTGAAGAGAGAGATGTTCTAGCCAGCCCCACCACTATTTTCATCACGATAATTTAGGCTGGATGCCAGCCCTGGCATTTTGTACTAAGTCAGAGTTTGCCTACATACAACGAAGAACTGAGACCCCCGGAAGAATCAGTTCTATGAAACATTGCTCATTACTACACAAGGATCAGCCGTGGCCATACCTTGGGGTATTTGTGATCTTTAAAATAAGGTAGCAACACATCGAGGTTTAATTTAACCCCCATACCGAGATAAATTCCACTTCCCAGAGCCTCGGGACCTGGAGAATAACATCACTATGAGGCATACTAAAGCCCATAGCTGCAAATCATCATAGAACACATTGCAGGGAGCATCCAGCCAGTGTCAGGTGAAGGTAAGTTATCCAATCAGGCAGAAATCAGGAAGGAGTACCACATAAAGCCAGCAAAGGGGAGGGACGAGACAAAAGGTGTATGCTAAGGGAGTGAGAAAGGCACTTCTGCTGGGCGCGGTGGCTCATGCCTGTAATCCCAGCACTTTGGGAGGCCGAGGCGGGTGGATCACGAGGTCAAGAGATCGAGACCATCCTGATCAACATGGTGAAACCCCATCTCTACTAAAAATACAAAAAATTAGCTGGGCATGGTGGTGCGTGCCTGTAATCCCAGCTACTCAGGAGGCTGAGGCAGGAGAATTGCCTGAACCCAGGAGGAGGAGGTTGCGGTGAGCCGAGATTGCGTCATTGCACTCCAGCCTGGGTAACAACAGCGAAACTCCGTCTCAAAAAAAGAAAAAAGGCACTTCCATGGAGAGGAGTCTAAAGCTGATTCCCACCAGAGCAAGTTTACTCACTGAAAGTCCTCTTCCTTTTCTTGCTAGAATATCCGTAGCCTCTTACAGTGTCTCCTCACATTATGGAAAGTTTGAGAAAAGTTGCAAAAGCTACCTGGGGAACAGGTCACATTCTAAAGCGGGTGTCCCGGAGAAGTGTTGCTTTCCACCCTATCCTCTCCTTAAGTCTCATCTCTGGCTCACTCCTGACGAATCAAGTGGGAAAATGAGCCGCACTCTTTCCCAGTGCCCTTCTGGCCCTATCTATGTCTTAGGAGCTTTTCTCCTGAAAACAATCAATCCACAGCTGCTCTGGGAGGAAGAGAAGATAATGTGAGAGCTCATAGTGGGTCAGTGATTCAGTGAAAAGCCAGAGAGCTGTCGGCTGAGAAATACTGGAGACATCTGGGCAAGAGCTGGAAAGAAAAGACGCTAGGCTGTCTTCTTCCGACACCAGATAGAGACTGGCCCTGGGGAGTTGCCCAGCCATGTGCCCTATGTACCAAGAAGCAAAGGTGCTAAGACTTCAGATGTCCTTAGAACGCAGTTATGAAAGAGGGAGGCAGCTGAGACTGGACTGAAAAGGGAGCACATGGATGAAATGCTGTGATGACATGAGAAAAATCAGACATTACAAAAGGGACACCAGGGCAGTCACAGACAAAGCACATTGAGCTCCCAGAGACCGAAAACATGACATAAACTCCTTCAGTCTAAGACGACACATATCCTGGCAATCTCCATCCTGGCCCCTTTAAGCTCTGCATTTGAATTCTCTAACT